ACAAATATTTTGTTGATGGCTTGGAAACAGTCCTTGACTTCAAAACATCAAATGAAGCTGATCGAACGCCGAGCTGATTGAAAGGAAATCCTGCTCTGTTGGCCCAGAGCTGGGAAAAAAACACTTGGGAGTTGTAAAGTCCCCGATGAGGAACGGGAAGGGCTCGGACCAGGTTGGGTCTTTAACCCCTCCAGGTTTTGGAGATGAATCCGCTCCCCTTTGGACTCTCTCACTGGGCAGGACGGGGAAGCTGAGCCTTGTTCCCATCTTCCACTGGGATGATCTGGTGATAATCCATGGAATGGAGGCTCGACATGGTCTGTAGGGATAAATTCCCGGGAAAAGGGGGCTGATTGATGCTGCTGCAGGGCCGGGTTCCAGCAGAGGGCAGAGGATCCCCGCGGATGACGCTGCCCTTCCCTCCCCGGCCCGCGATGCTTTTGAGCCGCTTTTTAGATTTCTGGATTTTTTTAATATTTTTTTTTTTAACTGTGTTCCTCAGTCTCCGCCCCCTTGATTGGGATGAAATAATAATAATAATAATAATAATAATAAAATCTGTATTTGGAGAAGGGGGTGTAAACAGGGAGGGGAAACGGGGCAGGACTCGAGAGAGCAGGAGGTGCCCGGGGAGGACATTCATCCCCCTCTGAATGGAGCTGAGAGGGGCCCAGGAAACCCGGGGGAGTTTACAATGAAAAGGGAGTTTAAAATGAAAAGTGTTTTTATACAACAGACGCCGAAACTGCGAACCCCACGCTGTGCAAAAGCAGCCCCTGCCTCACCCCAAATATTCGCCCTCCCTGTTATCAAACGCTCCCTGATTCCTCCTGGGAACTGGACCCACTGACTCCCCTGGATAAAGGTGGTCTGTCTTGCTGATTCCTGAGCGTGGGGAGACCCTGAACCAACCCAAGGTGGGATTTCTGCCCTGGGCTGACTCGGGGAGCTCTGCCTGGAGCTGGCAGGGAAGAGCTGCGCTCCAGACGCTCCTGGTTCCCCCAAACCTCCCAGGGGATGCTCGTGAAGCTCTCAAAAAAAAAAAAAACACCTTAGGCTGAAACACCTTCCTGAAAGTGCTTGAATCCACCTTCAAAAAAAAAAAACCAAAACCCCACGAGCATCTGACTGTCTGTTTACAGCCTGGCGAGCCAAGGAGGTCCCTGCAAGGGCTTGATCAGCAGGAGAAGCAATCCCAGGGAGAGGGAGGTGGATGATAGCGAGGGTTCAGTTAACTGCTCCCCGTGCCTACGTGAGGCCCCAGCACCCCACACGTGCTCAGGGTGTGTCTGGGAGACCCCCTGATACCCAACGGCCTCCCCCTGGCCCCTTATCTGCCAGAGCAAAGCCTTCCCCTCCTATCAGCGCCCAGAGAGACACTCAACTGTCTCCCAACTGCTCTGATGGGACGATAAAACCCCCGAGTCTTTCGCTGCTCAGCAGGGCTGGGAAGCTCCAGAGCACCCACAGGGTGCTGATTTGGGGCAGGGAGAGCAGCACAACCCCGGCCAGGAGCACGAGGAGGGCTTGGGGAACCGGTCCCTGGGTGGTTTCATCGAACAGCCCCCAAAACACCCCAAAAAGACAAGCCCAGGTTGCCAAGGGGGGGTGATCTGTGAGTCGCTGATCACCTTCCACCCCTCCTGTGGGTCCCCCAGGGCCTCCCCCCTCTACTGTGCCCTGACTGAGTCCTGCTGAGGGAGAAAAAAGGGTTAAAAAAGGAAACTGGAGCAACTTTGGGGAGGGTGGGAAGAGCTGGGGTCGAAGGGCAAAACGATCCAGGTGGGATGTTGGGGCAGGGGACCTGTGGGGTCACCACTCAGGTAACTCCGAGGAGGAACAGAAACCCTGAGGGGAAAATGAACCCTGCCCAGGCCGGGCTAACCCTGGCATTGGCATTTTAAATCTTTAAAATCTTTAAGGTCTTTTTAAATCCAGCAATCCTTTTTGGATTGAGGAATCAGGGATGTTATTTTGGGAAAGGCTTGACGGGGGGGGATGCCCGGGGTCCCTCAGCAGCTGAGATGGTGCAGGATGTGCTGTCATCCCGAGAGATATCCCACTAAAAACTCCTTGCTGGTCCCATTCCCAGTGCTGGAATGAAGTGCTTTAATTTTTTTTTTTTTTTGCAATGATGTGATTTTCCTCAATCCCTCCATCACACGGGGGTTTTCTCCCTTCTGCAGGGCAGGAGCAGCTCCAGCTGCTCGTTTTTTTGAGGGATCTGAGCGCTGGGAAGGGGCAAAAAGGCTCTTCCACCCCAAAGGAAAGCTGAGGGATGGTGGGATCTGCCAGGAACGGTCCGGAATGCCCGAGCATCAGAGCCCAGCAGGGTTTGGCAGGAGGATTCCCAGAGCCTGGTGCTGATCAGTGGGTGAGCAGGGAGGTCCTGCCAGCCTCGGGCACGGAGGACTCTGCAAAGTGCGTGGAAAAAAAAGGCGGGGGATGAGCAGAAACCCCTCCCTCAGCACTTTGGGGCCCGTTTCTCCCTCTGCAAACGGCCCTTCCCGGGGCAGCTTCGCCTCCCCTGGCTCGCAGAGCCCTGAGGACTCCACCAAATCTGCAAAACTAGATACTTCCCCTGCCCAACCCACTCTTCCTTCAGCCCTTATCTGCCCTTACCTGTCTCCACTAGGTCGCTTTAAAAGTCCCAGACACTTCCTTCCTTTGTT